CCCCACCCCCACCTTCTCCTGTGTCCATTTTGTCATCTTGGGTGGCTGGCTGGTGGCCCACGGAAAGGTCTGCGTTGAGCAGGGTGGGCTGTGGGCCAGGAAGTCTGAGAACCGCTGCTCTAGATCCTTCGGAGAGGGACTCAAGTCCCCCCCTGGGTGTCCCGGTGCCTCCGGCTCGTCTACATGCTGAGGATGCGAGTGTCCCAGGCCGGGTGTCCTTTGAGTCTCTCTGCTCTGCACATGTCAGTTCTGTGGCTTGGCCCTGCTGGCTGAGGGCCTGGGGAACCCAGCAGCCGGAGACGCCCCCCCTCCGTCCTTCTTCTCATTCCCCAAGGAATCGCAGCCGCCACCATATTCAGCCCCAGCAAGGACGTGAGCGTGTCGGAGAGCCAGCTGCGGGTGGCGTTCGACGGCGACGCCGTCCTCTTCTCGGACGAGTCGGAGCAGATCGTGAAGGAGCACGGCCTCGACATGTTTTTTGAGCACGAAAAGGCTTATGAGAACAAGCCGCTGGCCCAGGTATGGCGCCCGGCCGTGCCCGCTCATGAGAATAAGCCAAGCGGGTGGAGAAGGGTGGGGCTGGGCGTCCAAGGAGACACAGGTTTAGAGGCAGGGGAGTTGAATGCGAGTTAGGAACCAAGGCCCGGATCCTCAGAGGTATTTAAGCATCTAACACTCACTGACTTCAGTGGGAATTTGGCACCTGAATACCTTTGAGGGGCCTAAACTACAGTGATCTAGGAATCTGGAAACCTTCCACAGGCAAGAATGCATTAGCATTAGTGGGGAAAAGAGTTTCACCCAGCCACCAGGTGAAGTGTAAATAAAATATCATTTGTAATAAATAAAGCCTTTAGAGGCCCTCTCCAAGATTAGGGATCAGCTGGAGAGTTCCCACAGCAGGGACAGGCCTTTCCACTCCGTGTGCAGCGGCAGTCAAAAAAGCAAACACAGTGTTGGGAATCATTAAAAAAGGGATAGAGAATAAGACAGAGAATATCTTATTGCCTCTGTATAAATCCATGGTGCGCCCACAGCTTGAATACTGCATACAGATGTGGTCACCTCATCTCAGAAGAGCTATATTGGCATGGGAAAAGGTTCAGAGAAGGGCAACACACATGATTAGGGGTTTGGAATATGACGAGAGATTAAAAAAACTTTTCATCTTAGAAAGGAGATTAAGGGGGGATAGGATAGAGATCTATAAAATCATGACGGGTGTGGAAAAAGTGAATAAGGAAAAGTTATTTACCTGTTCCCATAACAAGTACTAGGGGTCACCAAATGAAATGAATAGGTAGCAGGTTTAAAACAAAAGGAAGTTTTTCTTCATGCAGCACACAGTCAACCTGTGGAACTCCTTGCCAGAGGATGCGGTGAAGGCCAGGACTTTAACAGGGTTCAAAAAAGAGCTAGATAGATTCATGGAGGTTAGGTCCATCAATGGCTATTAGCCAGGACGGGTAGGATTGGTGTGTCTAGCCTCTGTTCATCTGGAAATGGGTGTCAAGGGAGGGATCACCTGAGGATTATCTGTTGTGATCCCTCCCTCTGGGGCACCTGGTATCGGCCACTGTGGTCAGACAGGATACTGGGCCGGATGGATCTTTGGTCTGACCCCGCCTGGCCGTTCTGATGTTCCCTGCTGCTGGAATGGACCCAAGTCTGGGCGGTGGGGAAGGGGTGGAGGTGGCGGTGAATGACTGTGTCTCTTTGCTTGGGTAGGGGCCACTGAAGGGCTTCCTGGAGGCCCTGGGGAAGCTGCAGAAGAAGTTCTACTCCAAGGGCCTGAGACTGGAGTGTCCGATTCGCACCTACCTGGTCACTGCCCGGAGCGCGGCCAGCTCTGGGGCTCGCGCCCTAAAGACTCTCCGCAGCTGGGGACTGGAAACAGACGAAGCCCTGTTCCTGGCCGGGGCCCCCAAGGGGCCGCTGCTGGAGAAGATCCGCCCGCACATCTTCTTTGACGACCAGATGTTCCAAAGGGCCTGAGACTGGAGTGTCCGATTCGCACCTACCTGGTCACTGCCCGGAGCGCGGCCAGCTCTGGGGCTCGCGCCCTAAAGACTCTCCGCAGCTGGGGACTGGAAACAGACGAAGCCCTGTTCCTGGCCGGGGCCCCCAAGGGGCCGCTGCTGGAGAAGATCCGCCCGCACATCTTCTTTGACGACCAGATGTTCCACGTGGAGGGGGCCAAGGCGAGCGGCACCATCGCGGCCCACGTCCCCTACGGCGTCGCCCAGAAGCCGAGGCGGGGGGTGCAGGCGAAAGAAACGGCTGTGTGGGCTTCGCCGGCACCTGCTGGCTGGCTGGGCGGCCCTGCCACGTGGGCCGTGCATTGATTCGTATCAGGGTCTTCGCTGGGTAGTATTGAAGTTGCAGGTGCCTTGTCTGGGTGGGTTGAAGGAAGGTTTCCTTTTGCCTGTGTGTGTTGCACTTTATTGACAGTCTCTGTCCCCTCAGCCCCGCCCCTCCGGCCAACCAGCGCTCAAGCCCAACTCCGTACTTTTGCTCCCGCAACGCGGCCTCCACCCAGACTCTCCATCCCCCCTTCTCTGCCCTCCTGCCTAAGCCCCTGCCAGCTGCCCCGCTATGGCCCCCTGAAACACAAGGGAGACATAAGAATCCAGAGGGGCAGGCACTTACATTTTGCACCCCATGTTGACTACAAAGCTTGGAGAACTTCAACCCAAACTCAGCCTGCTCTTGCTCCAGGCTTGGGCTCCCTTTGTATGTTCAAGGTTCTTGTGGGTCAGTCCTGGTAAAGTGGTGTCTCCTTTACCCTGCGATCTGCAATCATGACATCAGTACCCCAACAGGAATTTCTCCTTGCCCGCATGCACCCATACCCCTGCTGCTTACAGCCTCCAGCAGGGGCATCCCGTGTTGGACAGGGTCTGTGAGAACAGGGCTCCCCTTCTGTGGATCTCATCTTGACCCAATTGAAACTTTTGGCGCCCACTTTAAAAAAACAAAACCAGAAACGTTCCCAATCCAAGAACCTGGATATAATAAACCCAGGGCAACGCTCTGTTAATATTTACGAAAAGGGGGAGGAGGAGGGTGGGGTCCAAACCGCCGGACGGAGCCCTTTCCTGTCGGGATCCATGCACGGCTTCCATGTAAACATCCCCAAGCTGTTTCCTGTCGATTTGTCTTTGGAAGTGCTGCCATGTGCCAGCCGTCCAAGGCTGCATCTTCCCCCAGCCTGGAGATGCCTTTGTCACAAGGAGCAGAACAGTCCGTTCACATGTAGGAAACTGGATCTGGCTGGCTCTGGGAATTGTGGCCATTGTGGCGTGGGGGCTGGGGGCGTGTGTATGTAAACATCCCCAAGCTGTTTCCTGTCGATTTGTCTTTGGAAGTGCTGCCATGTGCCAGCCGTCCAAGGCTGCATCTTCCCCCAGCCTGGAGATGCCTTTGTCACAAGGAGCAGAACAGTCCGTTCACATGTAGGAAACTGGATCTGGCTGGCTCTGGGAATTGTGGCCATTGTGGCGTGGGGGCTGGGGGCGTGTGTGGTGAAAGTGAGCGGCTGGACAGGGCTGCAGGTGTGTAGCGGGGTGTGTGCATGTGCACAGGGTAAGGTCGCGTGGGAGGGTGTGTAGGAGAGAGAATATTAACAGCACTGTGAAGTAGCGAGTTTGCCACTCTCCAAAAGGAGCCCCAATAAGCGGGCTTTGATCTGCCGGGCGAGCAAACCTCAGGTCGAAGAACCCCCTCCCTCTCGGAAAGGGACCGTCCCCCAGTTCTGACCGACGAGGGGGAGCACGGTACAATGCCGGCTGGGATGCTGTGTGACTTGCACTTTCATTTTGTTTCCGAAGCTTAAGACAAAACAGAGAGAGAGGCCGAGGGCCCGGAGCAAGCATCCTGGTCCGCTCCCCTTGGCCTCTTCCTGCCCTGCCTGGCGAGCAGAACTCCCTGCCCTGTTCACGGTGGGACTCAGAGCAATGAAACCAGGAACGCGTGGGTCCTGTCTGCACGGCGTGGGCGTATTGCCTGCTGTGTGTGGCAGCCACCCGCCGGGCCGGGCCCTATCTCTTCCCGTGAGGCACCATCGATATGCACTGCTTCTGTGGCTGGCTTGTGCCCATCTGTTACTGCCTACTCCTGGCTGGATTCCCCAGCCTGCAGCCCGCCAGCCACCCCCTTTGCAACGATCAGCGGGACTCTTGGTCCCAGCTGATCGCACACTAGGATGGCTGGGTGGCCTGCCTCTGCCTTGAACCAGCAGCTACCGCGCCCCTCTCCCCCTGGCTCGCCTGTTCCTGCTGTGTCCCCTGATGGTTTTATCTGTGAATGAACTGGTGTTGCGGTGGGAATGCCAGTGCGGGTCTGGAATAAATGACAGCTGGTACCGCTTGTCAGGCTGTGCTGCAGTTCTTGGAAGGGGCAGGCGCGCAGTGTGGCCAGCCACGGAAGGTCGACGTGGCTGCCAGGGAGGGGAAGGCTAACTCCCTGCTTAGCCCCTCGCAGGTGTTTTTAGAGCGGGAGGGGGGCTTTTTGGGTTGGGGGGCCCCGCTGACCCACAGAAAAGTCAGTTGGGGCTGCACGAAAGTGAGAAGCAAAGAACCAACAACCACAGGCTCGTGGTTTTTGTGGGGCCCCCCTAGGCTCTGGGGTGGAGCCAAATAGAAAGGGCTCCGTGTTTGGGAGGGGGCTTGGAGGGTGGGGTCTGGGCGGAAGGGAGGGTGCAGGGAGTGGGATGGGAGTGCAGGGTCTGCACAGAAAGGTGGGTGCAGAAGCAAAGTGGGACTCGACCCACCACCTGGCTGTGGTCACTTAGGGCAGAGGTCTGGGTGGAATGGGGAGGCGCAGGGCAGGAGCGCCAGCTCCTGCTCCCCAAACCTCGGGGGCCGAGTCAAGGCAAGCGGCCTTAGGT